TCCCCCCAGGTGGCGCCGGGCGCGAGGACGCAGGCGTACATGGAAGCGGCCATCGCGACGGCGCAGCACATGATGTCGCGCTCGGCGTCGGCGGAGTCCGGCAGACGCCACCAGGTGGCGACCCCGCGACCGCGGAACAAGCTGCTGCGGCGGCGTTCCTCCGCCGACCTGCGGCCAGGTGGCGCCACCGCGGCAGCGCAGATTACCGCACCAGAAAGCCTTCAGAGGGATTCTTTTCAACGGACGACTAGTTTATCGTCTGCAACCGACGGCCGGAAGCCAGATGTGGACGCTGGCGCCATCTCTGAGGAGCCGTCGCCACCAGTGGCGCAGCGTTCGCCGCCACCGACACCCACGGGGGAGCCACAGGTTGTGTCGACAACGCGAACTTGCACCCAGGTGGCGTCACCCACTCAGCTGTCCCACCAGGTGGTTCCATGCTAGCTCGGAGGAGAGGGTGATGGTGTTGGCACAGCAGTACATCCCTCTCTGCTTCCATGTTACTGTGGTGGAGGTGGAATCCTTCCATGCTAGCTCGGGGGAGAGGGTGACGGTGTTAGCACAGCCGTACATGACGTAGTGTAGACTAACTACGACTCGGATGGCTATCCACCTCGGAACCGGAACGGGAATTCGGGATCCCAGCTTAAGCTGTAATCTGCCTCGGAGTAGGAATTGGAATTTAGAACGCCGGCTTAGAGACAATCGTCCTCGAGGCTGGAATTGGAATCGGGAAATCCGGCTCAGTGGCAGTCCATCCTGGAGTCGGAATCGAGGTTCTGGTTCAGTCCCCGTCGTCGTCGGAGCTGGAACTGGAATCCTGCACCATGAAGGTCACGCGGCGCTTGACCTTCTTCGCGAGCTCAAGGTCAGTTGGCTGCGTCTGCTTCAACGCCGACTTCAGCGGCTGGCAGAACGCGAACGAGTTCGATTTCTTCAGCCTCCTCGCCATGGCGATGGCGCTCGTCTTCTCCACGGCAACCGCGCTCGGCCTCGCGCCGAACGACACGGAGCGCGTCATCGGCGCGGGCGCCCCCTGGTGGCGTCTGCCGGGATCCACCGACGCCGCGCGCGACACCATCAGCTGTGCCCTCGCGATGGCCTCCTCCATGTACGCCTGCGTCCTCGCGCACTGCGCCACCTGGGGGGAGGTACGAGTCCGCGACGCCACCTGGGATGGGGTACGAGTCAGTGGCGCCACCTTGGGGGAGGTACGAGTCGGCGGCGCCACCTGGGATGAGGTCAGAGTCAGCGACTCCTACAGTAACATGGAA